GTCAAAGGTCAGTTAGTTCTAAATATGTTTACCTGTTTCTCAGTTCTCTATCCTGTTTCATTGGTCTATGTGTCGATTTTAATACCAATACTATGCTGTTTTGGTTACTATAGCCTATAGTAATATATTTTGAAGTCAGGTAGTGTGATGCTTCCAGTTTTGTTCTTTTTGCTCAGGATTGCTTTGGCTTTTGTGGCCCTGTTTTTGTTGCATACAAATTTTAGGATTGTTTTATCTTGTTCTGTGAAAAATGACATGGGTGTTTTGATAGGGATTGCTTTAAATCTGTAGAGTGCTTTGGGCAATATGGTTAATGATATTAATTATTTGATCAATGAGCATGGAATGTATTTCCATTTGCTGGTGTTCTCTTTAATTTCTTTTAACAACGTTTTAGTTTTCCTCATAGAGATCTTTCTCTTCCTTGGTTAAATTTATTTCTAGATTTTCTAAGATATTATAAATGAGATTACCTTCTTGATTTCTTTTTCAGTTATTTTATTATTGGTGTATAGAGATGGTACTGATTCTTTTTCTTTTTTTAGACAGAGTCTCACTCTGTTGCCCAGGCTGGAGTGCAGTGGTGCAATCCTGGCTCACTAAAACCTCTACCTCCCAATTCAAGCAATTGTTCTACCTCAGCCTCCCAAATAGCTGGTATTACAGGCATGAGCCACCCTGCCTGGCTAATTGTTGCATTTTTAGTAGAGACGGGGTTTCACCATGTTGGCCAGCCTGGTCTTGAACTCCTGACCTGAAGTGATCTGCCTGGCTTGGACTCCCAAAGTGCTACTGATTTTTCTATGCTGATTTGTATCCTGCAACCTTATTGAATTCATTAAATCTAAGATTTTTTTTGGTGGAGTATGTTGGACTTTCTGAATATAAGTTCATGTCACCTGCAAAGAGAGACAATTTGAATTTGTCTTTCCCAATTTAGATAACTTTTATTTCTTTCTCTTACCTGATTGCTCTAGCTAGAACTTCCAGTACTATGTTTGATGGGGGTGGTGAAAGTGGACATTCTTATCTTATTCCAGTTCTTAGACAAAGGGTTTTTTAATTTCCCCATTGAGTATGAGGTCAGCTGTGGGTTTGTCATATATAGCCTTTATAATTTTGAGGTATGTTTCTTCTATGCCTAATATGTTGAGAGTTTTTGTCTAGAAGGAATGTTGAATTTTATCAAATGCATTTTCTATGTCTATTGAGATGATCATACGGTTTTGGTCCTTCACTCTGTTGATGTGATGTATTGTTTATTGATTTGCATATGTTGAATCATCCTTAAATCCTTCACATAAATCCCACTTGATTTTTATGTGTGCTGTTTTGTTTGGTTTGCTGGTATTTTTTCTACAGGATTTTTATATCTATATTCATCAGGATATGAGCTTGTAGCTTTCTTTTTGTATTTTATGTCCTTGTCTGGTTTTGGTAACAGTAATGCTGGCATCATAGAATGAGTTAGGGAAAATTCCCCCTTCCTCAATATTTTGAAATAGTTTGAAGAGAATTGGTAGTTTTTAATACACTAGTATGTTTGGTAAAATTTCTGCTTTGTATTATACATTTGATAGAATTTAGCAATAAATCTATCTAGTCCTAGGCTTTTCTTATTTGGGAAACATTTTATTACTGATTCCATCTTGCTACTTATTATCAGTCCATTCAGGTTTTCTTTTTCTTCCTGACACACTCGTTAGATTTTATGTGTCCATAAGTTTATCCATAACTTCTAGGTTTTCCAGTTGGTTAGTGTATTGCTGTTCATAATAATCTCTGATGAGCTTTTGTATCTGTTGTTTCCATTGTAATGCATCCGTCTTCATTTCTAATTTTGTGTATTTAGAAATTCTCTCCTTTCTTGGGTAGTCTAGCTCATGGTTATAAATTGTATCTTTTTGAAAAACCAACATTTTCTTTTGTCAATTCATTGTATTTATAATATAGTCTCTATTTCATTTAGTTCTGCTCTGACATTTATCGTTTCTTTCTCTCTGCTAATTTTGGGTTTGGTTTATTCTTGCTTTTCTACGTCCTGCAGGTGCATCATTAGATTGTTTATTTGAAAGAGATTGTCTTCCAGTGATGAGGTTGTGGTGACTTTCAATTTCTCCTAATTTTGTATCTTCCAGATTGCTTGCAATTAGTGTACATTCCTTTTATAATGGGAAAAATTTAAGCTATTTCTATTTTTCAAAGTTGTCCCACATCTTTAGAAAATTTTTGAAGATATTATTGAACATTACAAAAAATAATTAAATGTAAAATGGTTGTCTTCTTGTAGATATATAGATCACTATACAGATATTTTCCCCCTTAGAATCTCCAGTCACTAATTATTCAAATCACTGGTATATAAATAATATTCAAGGCAATGAAACCAGCCACTATGATGGAGATGGTAAAGAAAAATTGTTTTGGTCAAAGTTCAGTAAAGCAGCTCCATATTTAAAGATTACAGCAGGCGTACTAAAACGAGATACTTTCAGTATTAAAAGAATTAAAATAGCTCATCAGCTACTTCCAAGGTCTCAGTTCATGGACCTCAGCTCCTCAGGATCATTAACTGGGTTTAATAGTTGTAGTTAAAAGGTTTGTTTGCTTGATTGGAGTACCACAGTAATAAGCTCCTGGTCCCAAGAAAACTCTTTTTACTAGATGGTTTTACATGACGAGTAAACTGCTTTGCAGCCATAGACTGTAGCAGTATCTCTATCCAGGACTTCTGCAAACCCAAGGTTATCAAACAGTGGAGCCCAAGAGCAAGCATGTGCCTCGAGTAGCACAAATGTATAACTACTAATTCCAAAGCCCCTTAAAGTTTGCTTCTGTGATATTCAGTCCATAGTAGCTTCAGATTCAAAGAAAAGGATTTGTACAGCAGAACTTGATATAGACAATTCATTCTGAGTTTCTCTTTTAAGTAGAGCATTTGTAACTCCCTGCTCAAAGCAATGAGGAAGCTCATATGGCCCAGCAGCTTATATCGTCTGATATCAAAGAGGAAAAGTGAAATAATAACCCTGTAAGCATAATATTTAAGAGGTTCATCCTAGCTTCAAAGTCAAGTGATTCTTTGTAAGTGCAGTTGACAATTGACTCTTAAATAGCATGAGTTTGAAATACAAGTGTCCACTTACAGGTGGATTTTTTTTCCACCTCTATCTCCTCTGAAACAACAAGACCAACTTCTTCTTTTCCTCATCTTCCTTGGCCTATTCAACATGAAGACAATGGGGATGAAGACCTTTGTGATGATTCACTTTCACTTAGTGAATAAATATATTTTCTCTTCCCTATAATTTCATTTATAATTTCATTAATAATACTTTCTTTAATTTACTTCATTGTAGAAATACAGTAGATAACACATAAAACATACAAAATGTGTTAATCTGCTGCTTATTTTATTAGTAAGGCTTCTGGTCAACAGTATGCTATTAGTAGTTAAGTCTTGGGAAAGTTAAAAGGAACCAGGATTTTGACTGTACAGAGGCAGTGCTCCTAACCCCATTGTGCAAGGGTCAACTGTAATTAAAATTTCAGTCAGTTCCTCTAACGAATTTATGTTCATTCCTCTTTGTTATTTATGGAAGACATGTAGATGTCATACTTTGTTGTTCTCACAGATTTCCATGACAGAAAAGATGGAAGAAACAAATTTATATTGGAAACTTTTGCAAGTAGCCACATTAAAGAATTAGTGTTTTTTTTTTTACAGAAGCACTTATCAAAGTTTTCTCATTCCTACAACATAGCGAAGTTCCAAACTTTATATTTCAGGGTGAAACATGTCAATAACAGATATGACAAACAATTAGAAAATATGCTTATCATATTAGTAATTAATTATACTTTAAAATTATTTAAAGCTTTATATCAAGGCTAGAGTATTTTTTTTAATACTCATTCCCATCATTCTCCTTTCAATGTTCAAAAACCAATTCATCTGAATGGCAATAAAAGAATGTAATTTGATAGATGCAGCCAAGATTATAAAGCAGGAATAATGATTCACAGACCATGGTGCTGAGTATTATTTAGTCAGTATTTCTACAGGTGCTAACATAAAAGGTCATGTATTTTCTTTTAGACATGTCAACTACAGCATAATTTTACTAGATAAAATGAGAGGTAATGATTGGTGTGTTCATAATTAAACTTGAGGTCTCCATCAATAAACACCCATCCTGGAATAAGATCATTACCTACAAAGTGAAAGGTAAATACCATAATAAAAAATTGCTTAGATGATACACTGACCAGACTAATAAAAACATTTCAAAACATTTAATACTGGTGTAGGAGCATGAGCCTATAGTCCCAGCTACCTGGGAAGCTGAGGCTACAGTGAGCTGTGATGGTGCCACTGCAATTCAACCTTGGTGACAGAGCAAGACTCTGTCTCTAAATTAATTAATTAATTAATTAAATAAACATAAAAAAAGAAAAATTGGGTATTAATTTGCTATCAAAATATGCAAAATGGTGATATGTTTGTGTTTAACTTTTTTTTAAAAAACCATAAAATAGTAGTCTTTATTTTGGAATATTTCCTTAGGATAAATTCCCATTTGCTCTTTTGTTGAGACAAAAATGCACAAATATTTTTATGGCTTTGGAACATGCCTCCAGTTGCTTTCTGAGAGGATTATAACATGCATCCTACTGCACTGCGGTGGACCAGTTTCACTATACCTTCCAGAGATGAGCATTTTAATCTACTCGATCTTAGGACCATTAAATTCTATTTTAGAAATTTGTTTCTGGTTTTATTGTGCTATAAGAAGGGAATTTGGTTGTGGTAAATTTCTGTGTTAAGTGCATCTTTGTAACCAAATGTATATTTTTTTCATTTTTGTATGGTATTTTATTTTTAAAATTGACAAAATAGTGTGTATTTACCAGATACAACATAACATTGTGAAATACGTATACATTGTTGATTGGCTAAACTTTTTAATACAGGAAACTTCAAACAAAACAGCATGACAGTGCTTGCCTCGGCAGCATATATACTAAAATTGGAACAATACAGAAGAGATTAGCATGCCTGCTGCACAAGAATGACATGCAAATTCATGAAGTGTTCAATATCTTTTTCCTCCCAGGGATCATAACTCCTAGCCAGCAAGGGAACCAAACAGGATGGAGAATGAATTTGATGAATTGACAGAAGCAGGCTTCAGAAGGTGCGTAATAACAAACTTCTCCGAACCAGAGGAGTATGTTCTAACCCAATGCAAGGAAGCTAAGAACCCTGAAAAAATGTTAGAGAAAATGCTAACTATAATAACCAGTTTAGAGAAGAATATAAATGACCTGATGGAACTCAAAAATATAGCACAGGAACTTTGTGACACATATACAACTTTCAGTAGCTGAATCAATCAAGCAGAAGAAAGGAAATCAGAGTTTGAAGATCAACTCAATGAAATAAAGTGAGAAGACAAGATTAGAGAAAAAAGAGTGAAAAGAAATGAAGAAAAGCCTCCAATAAATATGGGATTACGTGAAAAGACCAAATCTACGTTTGATCAGTGTAACTGAAAGGGAAGGGGAGAATAAAATCAAGCTGGAAAACACTCTTAGGATATTATCCAGAACTTCCCCAACCTAGCAAGTCAGGCCAATATTCAAATTCAGGAAATATAGATACCACCACAAAGGTACTTCTAGAGAAGAGCAACCCTAAGACACATAATCATCAGATCCACCAAGGTTGAAATGAAGGAAAAAAATGCTAAGAGCAGCCAGAGAGAAAGGTCAGGTTACCCACAAAGGGAAGCCCATCAGACTCACAGCGGATCTCTTGGCAGAAGCCCTACAAGCCAGAAGAGAGTGGGGGCCAATAATCAACATTCTTAAAGAAAAGAATTTTCAACCCAGAATTTCATATCCAGCCAAACTAAGGTTCATAAGTGAAGGAGAAATAAAATCCTTTACAGAAAAGCAAATGCTGAGAGATTTTGTCACTACCAGGCCTGCCTTTCAAGTGCTCCTGAGGGAAGCACAAAATATGGAAAGGAACAACACTATTAAGAAACTGCATCAACTAATGGGCAAAATAACCAGCTAGCATCATAATGGCAGGATCAAACTCACACATAACAATATTAACCTTAAATGTCCCAATTAAAAGACAAAGACTGGCAAATTGGATAAAGAATCAAGACCCATCAATGTGCTATATTCAGGGGACCCATCTCACATGCAAAGACACACACTGGCTCAAAATAGAGAGATAAAGGAAGATTTACCAAGCAAATGGAAAGCAAAAAAAGGCAGGGGTTGCAATCCTAGTTTCTGATAAAACAGACTTTAAACCAACAAAGATCAAAATGGAGGGTATTACAAATGGTAAAATGATCAATGCAACAATAAGAACGAACTATCCTAAATATCCTAAATGTACCCAACGCACCCACATTCATAAAGCAAGTTCTTAGAGATCTATAAAAAGACTCAGACTCCCACACAATAATAGGGAGAGACTTTAACACCCCATTGTCAATATTAGATCAATGAAACAGAAAATTGACAAGGATATCTAGGACTTGAACTCAGCTCTGGAACAAGTGGACCTAACAGGCATCTACAGAACTCTCCACCCCAATTCAACAGAATATACAGTCCTCTCAGCACCACATCACACCTATTCTGAAACTGACCAAATAATTGGAAGTAAAATGCTCCTTAGCAAATGCAAAAGAACAGAAATCGTAACAGTCTCTCAGACTACAGTGCAATCAAGTTAGAACTCAAGATTAAGAAACTCACTCGAAACCACACAACTATATGGAAACCGAGCAACCTGCTCCTGAATGACTACTGGATAAATAATGAAATGAAGGCAGATATAAGATGTTCTTTGAAACAAATGAGAACAAGAACACAATGTACCAGAATCTCTGGTACACATTTAAAGCAGTGTGTAGAGGGAAATTTATAGCACTAAATGCCCAAAAGAAAAAGCAAGAAAGATCTAAAATTGACACCCTAACATCACAATTAAAAGAAATAGAGAAGCAAAAACAAACAAATTCAAAAGCCAGCTGAAGACAAGAAACAACTAAGACCAGAGTAGAACTTAAGGAGAGAGAGACACAAAAAAAGCCTTCAAAAAATCGTTGAATCCAAGAGCTGGCTTTTTCTGAAGAGATCAACAAAATAGACAGACTGCTAGCCAAACTAATAAAGAAGAAAAGAGAGAAGAATCAAATAGATGCAATGATAAAAGCCATATCACCACCGATCCCATAGAAATACAAACTACCCTCAGATAATACTATAAACACCTCTACTCAACTAAACGAAAAAATCTAGAAGAAATGGATAAATTCCTGAATACTTACACCCTCCCAAGACTAAACTAGGAAGGAGTGGAATCCCTGAATAGACCAATAACAGGTTCTGAAATTGAGGCAGCAATTAATAGCCCACCAACCAAAAAGAGTCCAAGACCAGATGGTTTCACAGCCAAATTCTGCCAGAAGTACAAAGAAGAACTGTTACCATTCCTTCTGAAACTAGTCCAAACAATAGAAAAAGGAGAAATTCTCCCTAACTCATTTCATGAACAGAACAGGGGCCTGATACCAAAACCTGGCTGAGACACCCACACATACACAAAAAGAAAATTTCAGGCCAATATCCCTGATGAACATCGATGCAAAAATTCTCAATAAAATACTGGCAAAACGAATCCAACAGCACATCGAGAAGCTTATCCATCACGATCAAGTAGAATTCATCCCAGGGTTGAAAGAAGGCTTGTCCAACATACACAAACTTATAAATGTAATCCATCACATAAACAGAACCAAAGACAAAAACCACATGATTATCTCAATAGATGCAGAGGATTTCAACAAAATTCAACAGCCCTTCATGCTAAAAACTCTCAATAAACTAGGTATTTATGGAATATAGCTCAAAATAAGAGCTATTTATGACAAACCCACAACCAGTATCATACTGAATGGGCAAAAACTAGAAGCATTCCCTTTGAAACCCAGCACAAGACAAGGATGCCCTCTCTCACCAGTCCTATTCAATATAGTGTTGGAAGTTCTGGCCAGGGCAATCAGGCATGAGAAAGGAATAAAGGGTATTTAAATAGGTAAAGAGGAAGTCAAATTGTCTCTGTTTGCAGACGACATGATTATATATGCATGCCTGTAATCCCAGCTACTCAGGAGGCTGAGGCAGGAGAATTGCCTGAACCCAGGAGGCGGAGGTTGCGGTGAGCCAAGATCATGCCATGGCACTCCAGCCTGGATAACAAGAGCGAAACTCCATCTCAAAAAAAAAAAAAAAAAAAAAAAAAAAAAAGAAGACCCTATCATCTCAGCGCAAAATCTCCTTAAGCTGATAAGCAACTTCAGCAGTCTCAGGATACAAAATCAATGTGCAAAAATCTCAAGCATTCCTATACACCAGTATCAGAAAAACAGAGGGCCAAACATAAGTGAACTCCCATTCACAACTGCTACAGAAAGAATTAAATACCTAGGGATACAACTTACAAGGGACATGAAGGACCTCTTCAAGGAGAACTATAAACCATTGCTTAAGGAAATAAGAGAGGACACAAACAAATGGAAAAACATTCCATGCTCATGGGTAAGAAGAATCAATATTGTGAAAATGGCCATACTGCCCAAAGTAATCTATAGATTCAATTGTATCCCCTTCAAGTTATCACTGACTTTCTTCACAGAATTGGGAAAAAATCACCTAAAATTTCATATGGAACTAAGAAAGAACTTGCATAGCAAAGACAATCCTAAGGAAAAAACAAAGCTGGAGGCATCACACTACCTAACTTCAAACTGTACTACAAGGCTACAGTAATCAAAACAGCAAGGTACAGGTAGCAAAGCAGATATATAGACCAATAGAACAGAACAGAGGCCTCAGAAGTAACACCACACACCTAAAATCATCTGATCTTTGACAAACCTGACAAAAACAAGCAATGGGGAAAAGATTTTCTATTTAATAAATGGTGTTGGGAAAACTGTCTAGCCATATGCAGAAAGCTGAAACTAGATCCCTTGCTTAAACCTTATACAAAAATTAACTCAAGGTGGATAAAAGATTTAAACATAAGACATAAAACCATAAAAACACTAGAAGAAAACCTAGGCAATACCATTCAAAGCATAGGCATGCACAAAGATTTCATGACTAAAACACCAGGAGCAATGGCAACAAAGGACAAAATAGACAAATGAGATCCACTTAAACTAAAGAGCTTCCGCACAGCAAAAGAAACTATCATCAGGCTGAATGGGCAACCTACATTTCTGCATTTCTCAGGCCATCTATTTATAACTTTTATTACACATAGTTCCTCTCCTCCGAGGTTTTAATCACAATTATAATTCTATAATCAAGTGTTTAATTAAATGTCTGTATCTCCCTTGAAGTAATGGACTACTCAAGGGAAGGAGACCTATCTTGTCTACTATGTACATCTATCCCTTTCACAAAGCCACTTAAAAAGCATTTGCTACTTTTACACTGTTGGTGGGAGTGTAAATTAGCTCAACTATTGTGGAAGACACTGTGGTGATTCCTTAAGGACCTAGAAATTCCATTTGACCCAGCAATTCCATTACTGGGTATATAGCCAAAGGATTATAAATTATTAAAGACAGATGCACATGTATATTCATTGTGGCACTGTTTACAATAGCAAAACCCAGGAACCAACCCAAATGCCCATCGATGATAGAATGGACAAGGAAAATGTGGCATATACACACCGTGGAATACTATGCAGCCATAAAAAACTATAAGTTCAAACATCATTCTCTGCAAACTGACACAAGAACAGAAGATCAGACACAGCATGTTTTCACTAATAGGTAGGTGTTGAACAATGAGAACACGTGGACACAGGGAGGGGAGCATCACACATTGGGGTCTGTTGAGGGCGAATAAGGGAGGGAAAGTAGAGATAGGGAGGTTGGGGAGGGATAACATGGGGAGAAATGCCAGCTATAGGTGACGGGAGGATGGAGGCAGCAAACCACATTGCCATGTATGTACCTATGCAACAATCCTGCATGTTCTGCACATGTACCCCAGAAC